TGTTTTCCAATTTTTGCCAATTTTGCCACTGCATTGAAAGAACCAAGCCATGCCTGAGAAAAAGAAAAGAAACTGGATTCTTTGCTATCCATCAAACCTGGCCCGGAGTTTATCGATGGGGCACAGTTTTCCTGCCATGCAAACAAACCAACAAAGAGAGACCTTTTGCCAACAGGAGGAGAAAGAAGAGCCTTAAAACCAACACTTGGCTGCATGCTTTTTTCAGGCCACGCTCCTTATGTAATTCTGCCTGTGAGGAAGCCTGATGGAATTGTAACGGGGCTTATTTCTGGGTAAATGCATATGAGATTTGCACTGTATCCGTCTCACATGTGGGCACTCTTCCCATCTTTTTTTATATGGAAAGAAGGAATGAAAAGACACGACCGTGGTGAGGAAAGAAGGGTTGGCGGAGGGGAGAATGGCTCGGAAAAAGGATGTTATGATGCAATACACTCATGTTGGAGGCCTAAAAGAGATGGAAAGAAATTCAGATTGAGTGTCCCTTATCCAAAATGCCCCAGAGTTGTCCACAAATGTTGCTTCTTTGATGTACAACATTATTGCAAAAATTGTGTCTAGGGTATCTACCATTGCCTGAGCATACATTAGAAATACTCATTCTCAGCGTGAGGCATATCTGGGCTATGCAGGGTACAGAATCAAGTGTAAGTTTCAGTATTCATTCTCCTAGCACAGATGAACTCAGGGGAATTCTTTTCTCCATAAAGAATACACTGCTCTGAACAAAGATTTTTTGTTAAGAATTGAATTAATAGTTTTGTCATCTTAAGGACAGTTTTCTTCCTTCTCCAGCTCCCTTCCATTTTTGCCCATCCTCCAAAGGGCACTTTCCTCCCTTCTCCAGCTCCCATTTTTGCCCATCCTCTAAAGGGCACCTTTCTCCCTTCTCCAGCTCCCTTCCATTTTTGCCCATCCTCTAAAGGGCACCTTTCTCCCTTCTCCAGCTCCCTTCCATTTTTGCCCATCCTCTAAAGGGCACCTTTCTCCCTTCTCCAGCTCCCTTCCATTTTTGCCCATCCTCTAAAGGCCACCTTTCTCCCTTCTCCAGCTCCCTTCCATTTTTGCCCGTCCTCTAAAGGGCACCTTTCTCCCTTCTCCAGCTTCCATCTTTACCTATCCTCTAAAGGGATGTTTTCTCCTTTCTCCAGCTCCCTTCCATTTCTGCCCGTCCTCTAAAGGGCACCTTTCTCCCTTCTCCAGCTCCCATCTTTACCTGTCCTCTAAAGGGATGTTTTCTCCCTTCTCCAGCTCCCTTCCATTTTTGCCCGTCCTCTAAAAGGCACCTTTCTCCCTTCTCCAGCTCCCATCTTTACCTGTCCTCTAAAGGGATGTTTTCTCCCTTCTCCAGCTCCCTTCCATCCTTGCCCTCTAAAGGGCAACTTTCTCCCTTATGAGGTATATATGAAACATATATACATGCATTGAATGTTTTGCCTTAGGTCCCATCTCCAAGACATTTCATGGATGCATTATCAGGAAACTCTCCAAACTCCTCTGGGCCCAAGCCTTTCGGATAAGGGATCCTCAGCCTGTATTTGAACAGAGCGAGATCGGATCGTATGCTACAGGAAGTGCTGTCAAAAGGATGGGTTGCCCTCACCCTCTCCAAATTGAAGCCAAAATCTGTACCATGTCTTAATTAGAAACTGCTCTTTAATCTGTCAATGGCTGTCAATTCTTTTGTCTTTCTACTGGGGAAGAGTGAAGGAGGGCGCAAAGGCGGGTATCACCCAGAGTCCATTGTAGTTTGTTATGTTGGGCAAGTTTGCTCTACATGTATCTACATGTATCATGGGTGAGGTTCAGTGTGCTTCTGGCTGTAGGATGAACTACAACTCCCACTATGGTGAGTCAATCCCCTTAAACCCCTCCAGTAAGTTGAGTTACTCATGGAGGTTTTGGTTCACAGTGCTCTTTGGATGTAGGTGAACTACAACTCTCCCAAATCAAGATGAATTTTCCCCAGTATTTATTTATTTTATGTTATTGCTGGTCATGGGGGCTCTGTGTGTCAGGTTTGGCCCAATTCCATCTTTGGTGAAATTCAGATTGGAGGTGAACTATAAATCCCAGTACCTACAATTCCAAAATATCCGGACCAATTCCACTCAAAACCCACCAGTATTCAATTTTTGGCATATTGTGTATGTATGCCAAGTTTGTTCCAGATCCATCATTGTTTGGGTTCATAGTGCACTTTGGGTGTAGGTGAACTACAACTCCTATAAATCCCTCCTAAGACCAACTGTATGTTTTGTTGGTCATAGGGGTTCTGTGTGCCAAGTTAGTCCCAGGTCCATCACTGGTGGAATTCAGAGTGGTCATAGACTGCAGGTGAATTATACATCCCAGGACCTACAACTCCTAGAAATCATGGTGAATATCCCCCAAACCTCTCTAGTATGTTCAGTTGCTGATCAATTCCTCTGCTTGCTGTGTGTCATAGAAAAGAATAGGAAAGAGTTAACGGAGAGGCAGTGGGCGGGGTCATGCAAATTCAACACCATGGAGAGAGACAGAAACACATACAATCTAGAATGGAATTGCCCTCACTTGGGTGGGGGGCAGGATGGTGCCTTTGGAGGACATTGGCAGGGCTCTTGGACATGTTCATGGTGCTCACTCTAACCTGCAGTGTCATTGGAGGGGAGGGCCTTTGGTGTCTCCTGAGTGGTGGGAGCCATAGCTGTTTGTGGAGGCAGGAGCTTGTCTGTGTCAGTGGACACCCCAGCCACATACATAAATACATATTTTCACTTTTCTTATGTGCATAGATAGATTATTGTCTGGGCCAAAAGTCAGCCAATGAATTCCAACAAGGAAAAGGCTGACCCCTAGACTTTCTTCAACATCTTTATCCAGGCATCCTCAAACTGTGGCCCTCCAGATGTTTGGGCCTCCAACTCCCAGAAGCCCCAACGAGCTTGTTGAATTGTCAGAAATTCTGGGAGTTGAAGTCCCAAACAGCTGGAGGGTCACAGTTTAAGGATGTCTGTCTTTATCAATGCCTTGGACAATGGTGATGATAATGATGATGATTATTATTATTATTATTAATTTAATGATAATAATAATAATATATCTGCCTTAACTGGCAGATTATGATGATGATTAATAATAATAATAATAATAATGATGATGTATTATGATTAATAATAACATATCTTTCTAAACTGGAAGATGATGATGATGATGAATAATAATAATAATAATAATAATAATAATAATAATGTATTATTATTATTATTATATCTGCCTAAACTGGAAGATGATGATGATGATGATGATTATTACTAATGTAATAATAATAATAATAATAATAATAATAATAATATCTCTGCCTAAACTGGCAGATGATGATGATAATAGTAATAGTGTATTATTATTATTATTATTATTATTAATAATAATAATAATAATAATAATAATAATAATAATAATAATATATTTGCCTAAACTGGCAGGTGATGATGATTAATAATAATTAATAATAATGTAATAATAATAATAATAATAATAATAATAATAATATATCTGCCTAAACTGGCAGGTGATGATGATTAATAATAATTATTAATAATGTAATAATAATAATAATAATAATAATAATAATTTATCTGCCTAAACTGGCAGGTGATGATGATTAATAATTATTATTAATAATGTAATAATAATAATAATGATATATCTGCCTAAACTGGCAGGTGATGATTAATAATTATTATTAATAGTGTAATAATAATAATAATAATAATAATAATAATAATATATCTGCCTAAACTGGCAGGTGATGATGATTAATAATTATTATTAATAATGTAATAATAATAATAATAATATCTCTGCCTAAACTGGCAGATGATGATGACTAATAATAATAATAAATAAATAAATAAATAAATAATACCTCTGTATAAAACTGGTAGATTGTGATGCTGATTAATAATAATAATGTATTATTATTATTATTATTATTATTAATAATAATAATATCTCTGCCTAAACTGGCAGATGTCAATGTTGATTAATGATGATGATAATAATAATAATAATAATAATAATAATAATGTATTAATAATAATAATATCTCTGCCTAAACTGGCAGATGTTGATTAATTATTATTATTATTAATAATAATAATAACAATGTATTATTAATAATAATAATAATAATAATAATAATATCATCTCTGGGTAAACTGGTAGATGGTGATGAATAATAATCATAATCATAATAATAATGACAGCAGGATTGCAGAGAAACAAGTGGAAAAGCTGACACGATATGAGGATTTAAAGACCGAACTGCAAAGACTCTGGCACAGGCCAGTCAAGGTGGTCCCAGTGGTGATCGGCACACTGGGTGCAGTACCTAAAGACCTTGGCCTGCACTTAAACACAATCGGCGCTGACAAAATTACCAATCTGCCAGCTGCAGAAGGCCACCTTACTGGGATCTGCACACATTATTCGCAGATACATCACACAGTCCTAGACACTTGGGAAGTGTCCGACGTGTGATCCAATACAACAGCCAGCAGAGTATCTGCTGTGGACTCATCTTGTTGTGTTTCAAATAATAATAATAATAATAATAATATTATTATTATTATTATTATTATTAATAATAATCTGGCAGATGATGATGTGATGATGATGATGATGATGATGATGATGATGATGATGATGATGATGAATAATAATATCTCTGCCTAAAGTGTCTGTGTTCTGAAGCAATGAGGAAAGAGGCCCTACTTTTGCTTCTTTGCTGCAGAGAAAATTTCTGCTTGTCAGAAGTATAAGGAATCAAAGCTGAATATAACAGAAGGTGTTACCTACCTGTCCATTGCAAAATGGCTTCATCTGCACTGGGCACTGGATGCGGTTCTAAACCGGTAATGGGAGACGGAGGTGTGGAGATGAAATCCTGGCAAGGGTTTGGATAGTTGCGCCCTGCTCGGCCCTGATGCGCTTGGAGACTTTCCCTTTTGCGCACCCCTTCGAGGAGTTTGTTACCGAGCTGAAACCGCTTTAAAAGGTCAGTGTAGACGGGGGGTTTGGGTCCTCCGTGCCCCCCAGGACCCCAGCCAACTTGAGACCCGGCCTGAGCTCCGGTTTGGAAAGGGTTACGACGAGAAAGCGAGGCGGCGCCAGGTTTGGCCGCGCACCTGGGCCAGGCGTCTTCCTCCTTCCACCTGCGCCTCTTGGCAGGAAGAGGAAGAAGGGAAGGAAGGGAGAAAGAGAGCGCCCAAAGGAGGAGAAAGTTCGCTCCCGATCGGGCGCCTCGAAGAAGGGGTCGACGGAGGCGTCCCCAAAGACCCCCCACCCCCCAAAAGTTGGACGGTAAGTTCCTTTTTTCCTCCGACTCCGAGGCGCCTTCCCTGAAACAGGACACCTTCTTTCTCCCTTTCTTTGCGCCTTGGTGCGTCCAAGCGCCCCAGTTTTGGAGAGGTCTAGGGGGACCTCGCTTGGCCCCCTGTCACCCGCTTTGTGGGGGGCCAGGACCCCCCTTTCCCCCCAGGAGGATTCCTCTGGGGTCCCCGCCGGGGCCGGATGAGAAACAAAGGGGGTTGGATCCGACAAACGGGTTAGGAAGAAGGGGGAAAGGGACCCCCAATGTGTTCCCAACAGAGAGGAAGACCTCTTTCTCAAGGGATGGCTCAAGGCTTATTCCAGTTTGCAGAGGGCACCAAATGGGGAGGAAGGGCGATGGCCCCCAAGGACCAGGGCAGAACTGGAGCAGAGCTTTCCAAACGGAAAGTTTAGCTCCCTTCTGTCATTAAGGGAGGACAGTCAAAACCCTCTCGACAGATGGCCACCCAGCCTCCAGTTCACAAATTCTCAATTTACTGAAGTTCTTCTCTTCCAGAGAAGGAGGCGCCACTAGACTCTACCAGGCAGTCTATACTAGGGTTTGAAGGGATCCCCAAAGGGCATCTAGTCCAGCCCCCTTCCGCCATTAAGGAAGACACAGTCAAAGCGCTCCCGACAGATAGCCATCCAGCCTCAGTTCACAAACCTCCAGAAAAGGAGGTTCCATTGGAGTCCTTGGCAGTCTATACTAGGGTTTGAAGGGATCTCYAAAGGGCATCTAGTCCAGCCCCCTTCTGCCATTMAGGAAKACACAGTCAACGCGCTCCCGACAGATGGCCATCCAGCCTCARTTCACAAACCTCCAGAAAAAAAGGTTCTATTGGACTCCTTGRCAGTCTATACTAGGGTTTGAAGGGATCCCCAAAGGGCATCTAGTCCAGCCCCCTTATGCCATTAAGGAAGTCACAGTCAAAGCGCTCCCGACAGATGGCCATCCAGCCTCAGTTCACATACCTCCAGAAAAGGAGGTTCCATTGGACTCCTTGGCAGTCTATACTAGGGTTTGAAGGGATCCCCAAAGGGCATCTAGTCCAGCCCCCTTCCACCATTAAGGAAGACACAGCCAAAGCCCTCCCGACAGATGGCCATCCAGCCTCTGTTTAAAAAACTCTAGAGAAGGACATTCCATTGGAAGAGACTCCTAAAGGGCATCTAGTCCAGCTCCCTTCTGCCAGGCAGGAAGGCACAGCCAAAGCCCTCCCAACAGATGGCCATCCACTTCAATTAAAAACCTCCAGATAAGGAGGCTCCATTGGACTCCCAGGCAGTTTATACTAGGGTTTGAAGGGATCCCCAAGGGGCATCTAGTCCAGCCTCCTTCCGCCATTAAGGAGGACACAGTTAAAGCCCTCCCAACAGATGGCCATCCAGCCTCAATTCACAAACCTCCAAAAAAGGAGGTCCCATTGGACTTCTTGGCAGTCTATACCAGGATTTGAAGGGATTCCCAAAGGACATATAGTCCAGCCCCTTTCCACCATTAAGGAAGACATAGTCAAAGCCCTCCTGACAGATGGCCATCCAGCCTCTGTTTAAAAAAACTTCTAATAAGGACACTCCATTGGAAGAGACCCCCAAAGGGCATCTAGTCCAACCTCCTTCTGCCAGGTGGGAAGGCACAGACAAAGCTCTCCCGACAGATGGCCATCCAGTCTCTGCTTAGTAAAACTGAATGGAAACAGTCCACACCAAAGGGATCTTAGTAGACCGACATGCTGAATATGAGAGTCAAGAGTGTGATGCTGCAGTGACAAAGGCAATGCGATTCTCGGGCTGCACGCATAGGAGCTCAGTGTCTTGAAGGAAGGATGCAATAGGCCCACTCTCTTCTGCTTTGGCCAGGCCTCACTTGGAAAGAATATTGTGTCCTGGGCCATTCAAGAAGGGATTTGATCATTGGAGAAGAGTGGCCCAAATGGCTAAAGGTCTGGCAAGCGAGGTCCCTCTGAAGATGAATGGGATGAATCCTGGATGAGATTTTTGTGTTGGATCGCAACTCCCATCATCCTCAGCATGATAGGAATTGTAGTGCCAAGCCCTTCGGTGGCGGCTTGATTAGAAAAGGCTTGCCATAGCCTGGGTGAATTTATTTGGTTTTACACAGAACACAAGATGTCATTATGATAGTTTTTGTCATTGTTTACATCATATGCAGCCAACAATATTAATATAATAATAATAATAATAATAATAATCAGTCAAAGTATATATGGTGGTTGTTTTGTGGGGTTGGTTCCACTTCCCTCCTAGTGCCCTCTAGTTGCTTCTAGAAAAGAAATCAATTCATCCATCTCAATTTCTGCTTTCCGGAGGTCAATATTTGCTTTTGGGACTGGAATGCCCCAAAGAGGAAAGGAGGAGGGCAAAGGTAAAGAGTGTGAAATTCAGGGACTCTGGCCTTGTGTGTCAATGGGAACTTGTATGGCGGGTCTTTGGACCTCGCCCCATTCTCTGCTTCCATTCACTGTGGGAAAGGTACGCCCTTCGGAAGTGAATTGCAGTATTTTGTGTGAAAAAAACAGAAGAATTTCGAAGGAGGATAAGAGATTGATTATTATTATTATTATTTTACTGACACAAAACCACAGTATGTCACAGCAAATGAGATATATATGCTGCATTTTGTATCACAGAATCACAAGCCGAACACTTCCCAAGCATCTAGGACTGTGTGACGTATTTTCAAATGATGTGCCAGATCCAAGTAAGGTGGCCTTTTGCAGTTGACAGATCGTGATTTTGTCGATGTTTATTGTTTCCAGATTATTATTATTATTATTATTATTATTATTATTATTATTATTATTGCCACTAAGTCAACTTGAACATAGGGCAACTCTATGAATGAAACCTCCAACCATTATTTATTTATTATTGCTACGTAGTCAAATTGAACTTAGGGCAACCCTAGGAATGAAACTTCCAACTGTTTATTATTATTATTATTATTATTATTATTATTGACACAAAAGCACAGTATGTCACAGCAAATGAGATCTATATGCTGGATTTCCTATCAAAAATCACAAGTCGAACACTTCCCAAGCGTCTAGGACTTGTGTGATGTATTTTCGAATGATGCGCACAGATCCAAGTAAGGTGGCCTTTTGCAGTTGACAGATCGTAATTTTGTCAGTATTTATTGTTTCCAAATGCCGGCTGAGATCTTTTGGCACGGCACCCAGTGTGCCCATGACCACTGGGACCACCTGTGCTGGTTTATGCCAGAGCCTTTGCAGTTCGATTTTGAGGTCTGAGTTTTTCCTGTTGTTTTTCCTCAATGCGACTGTCACCCGGTATGGCGACATCAATAATCCAGACTTTTTTTCTTTTCCACAGTCGTGATGTCTGGTGTATTGTGTTCCAAAACTTTGTCAGTCTGGATTCGAAAGTCCCACAGTATTTTTGCATGTTCATTTTCCATGATCTTTGTGGGTTTATGATCCCACCAATTCTTTGCTGCTGGCAGGTGGTACTTGTGATATAAGTTTCAGTGAATCATCTGGGCCACAGAGTCATGTCTTTGTTTGTAGTCCGTCTGTGCCATTTTCTTGCAACAGCTGAGGATATGATCCATGGTTTCATCAGCTTCCTTGCACAGTCTGCATTTTGGGTCATCCGCTGATTTTTCAATCCTGGCCTTAATGGCATTTGTTCTGATGGCTTGTTCCTGGGCTGCAAGAATCAGGCCTTCTGTGTCCTTCTTCGGGGTTCCATTCATGAGCCATAACCAGGTCTTCTCCTTGTCAACTTTTTTTCAATCTTCTCAAGGAACTGCCCATGTAAGGCTTTGTTGAGCCAGCTGTCAGCTCTGGTTTGGAGTGCAGTTTTCTTGTACTGACTCTTTGTCTGCTGTGTTTTGAGAAGTTTTCGATTATTGACTTCAATTAAAGCAGGTTCTTGGCTTTCCTTGACATGTTCTGCCAGGGCGTGTTTTTCTTCTTCGACTGCTTGTTTTACTTGTAAAAGTCCTCTGCCACCAGACTTTCTAGGCAGATAGAGCCGGTCAACATCATTGCGAGGATGTAATGAATTATGAATGGTCATGAGTTTTCTTGTTTTTCTGCCCAAATTGTCCAGTTCTGCCTTCGTCCAGTTTACGATGCCAGCAGTATATCTTATGACAGGTATGGCCCAGGTGTTTATGGTCTTGATGGTGTTGCCTCCATTGAGCTTGCTTTTGAGAATTTTTCTGACCCTTTGAATGTATTATTTGCTGACCACATTTTTCACATGTTTGATGTTGTCCAGCTGTAGTATGCCCAGATATTTATAGGCCTCTGGCTGGTGAAACTTGATCGCTTGGCCATTGGGCAGATTTATGCCCTCACTTTCAATGATTTTTCCCTTCTTCAGTGCCACTGTTGAACATTTGTCCAAACCAAACTCCATGTTGATATCCGTGCTAAAGATTCAGACAGTGTTAGTCAGAGACTGGATTTCAGTTTCAGTTTTCCCATACAGCTTCAGGTCATCCATGTACAGCAGATATGAAATTATTATTATTATTATTATTATTATTATTATTATTATTAGCCACTAAGTCAACTGGAACTTAGGGCAACCCTATGCATGAAACCTCCAACCATTATTTATTTAAGCCCCCTGGTGGCACAGTGGGTTAAACCATTGAGCTGCTGAACTTGCTGACCGAAAGGTTGGCGGTTTGAATCCGGGGAGCGGAGTGAGCCCAGCATCTGCCAACCTAGAAGTTCGAAAACATGCAAATGTGAGTAGATCAATACGTACCACTTCTGCGGGAAGGTGATGGCACTCCATGCAGTCATGCTGGCCACATGACCCCCCAGAGTCAGACATGACTAGACTTAATGTCAGGGGAAACCTTTACCTTTACCTATTATTACATTATATTTATCATCATCATCATCATCATCATCATCATCATCATCATCATTATTTTATTACTTATTATTATTATTGCCAATAAGTCAACTTGAACTTAGGGCAAC